CCCTGACTCGTGTCTCTACCAGCGTCTGTGTGATTGCCAGCCGTAGTCACCGCGTCGTCCACATGTGACTTCACGCAAGTAACAATTCCATCCTGCCCAGGCCCAGCTACAAGTATTCTGGTGAGCAAGAATTCGGATGAGAGGTAAGTAAATGCTAGAAGGCATGAACATTAGTTTCAGGACGTCTACATATTAATTAAGTCTGTGATTTGAGGCGTGCATTGATTAGCCTCTTGGTGATGCCAGTCCGTTTCAAGTACCTCCTTTCAATGCATGCGCACAGAGTATGGTACCGCCCGACCTTGGAACACCGGCTTCTCAACCCGAATCGCATGTTTACGCCCAGCCACGCAACGATTCGCTTTGTAACCGACCAGGGGGCAGAAGAGACCTTCGTTTTGCACCTGACGTGTCTAGTCAGGTGGCCGCCATTGAGCTCGATTCCTTCCTGGCCGGACTCGAATCCGGGCTCAGCAAGCCGGCATCACCTCTTCGAGCTCCTACGGCTCAAGCCAGAATCTCACTCGTCCTGTTAACCGAAGCTTGGCCTCACGCAACTGGGTTAGAGCACCTCCTGGCCTACTGACTTTCACAACTCCCATTCTTGTCAGCAGTGCTATTCTTTCCAGCCCCTTACCCCCTCGATGGCATTTAACTATTTTAACCGAATAATTAAATTGGGCATGCATTTTTCGTCAGTCACATTAAGCCATCCCCAGCTTCACCTCCATTTATCGCATAAAATACCGAGGTTTAAAGAATACTTTTATCATTTCATTCCATTAGACCCTTTTTCTCTATGATAGCTGGGCTCACGTACTTATTCAAGAAATACTGATGGTCTTGGAAACTAATCTTACTGAAGATATTTACCTTCTTTGAATGAAATTGTAGATACAAGTTTGCCTTATCGAAAAAGTCTACCTACAATTGTGATTTGAAATTCTTCTCTGCTCTGTCAACCACTTGCACCAGCGACTGTGCTCTGCCGACTGGGTTCAAATCCCGGTCAGGCATCGTCGAAACTACAGACGATGCTAAATAAACTTCATCAACATCGTGAGGCCTATTCGTATAATTATGAGAAAAAACTATATTATCAATCATTTAATCATTTTAAGCTACCGAGGGTGATCCAAGTCCCTATTCAAGTATATTAGAGCTGCATTCAATCTATTTAATTTAAGGTGATAAGAGAGTGGTAGCTGAATTTTCACACAATCTTATGGGTAGGCTTCCCATTTCAATTAATTTTCACATAGCCTTGCTTCTCAAAAGCTATTCACACCCAGCCAGGAGTAGACTGCAATTTCGACCTCGCCTAGGTTTTATCAGCATCCCAAGCGGGACTCGAACATGGGTCGTGGTAGTGCAACGCATTGTCTCGACACATTACTCACTACACTAGTCTGCAACGATTGCGCTTGCATCAGAGGGCAGATGTGGATTTCAAGGAAGGTCAGGCCTATACCACATCATATTTCTTTGGTGAGATTGTATTCACTATATCAATCGACGACATTTCTTATTTTCAACTCATAAGTAGGTTTTCGAGACTACCATTGAATTTGATATGGGAGCTGTATTACTGAAAGTCTTAAAAATTAGTCTTATAAAAAATGTAACCTTTCCTGCTCCGTATGACATTTTCAGGATGAGAAAATATTCTTAAACGCACCTGACAATACTGTCCTTGCAAGAGAAACACCCTATCGTGATTAGTAGTGTAAATAGCTTTTCAATACCTCAAAGTGATTTGGAGATTTTTTATTATAAATAGTTTCCGAGGCTATCAGTGACTTTTGCATGAGAACTTAGTCAGTCTAGGTCGCTCAATTTGATTTAACGACTGACGATTGCTTTGTCATTGAATTTCAATTGGCCTTGCTAGGCTGACTAAGTTCTTATTCAAGACTTACTGATAGTCTCGAAAACTACTCACATTTAAGTAAGTAACGTTGTCGATTGCAATAGCAAGCGCATGAATACTCTGAAGGTCGAATCTGTCCCGTGACCTAGTGAGACTCGCGGTCGTGTGATGCAGCAGTAGCTACGCGACGATACTTGCGATCCGGTTTCGAATCCCTCGAGGGGTGCTGATGGAATCTATATTATGAGAAAGTCCTTCGAGAGGCAAGGCTATGCAAAATTCCTTGGCATCTTGAGATCTAGTCATCTGATTGTGATAGAACTTAATTATGATTCCTTAACTCAACTTAAACAGCCTGAGCAGACTAAGTTCCTGACTTAAGGACCTCGTATCCAAGACGATGGGATGTCGAGACTGTGTAACTGGTTATGTTTAAAGTTCACCTTTAACGAAAGGTAGAGTCAACATTGCTTATCCCATTGGCGGGTGGTTCTGAAGGCATCTATCTCTTTACAGGAGGGCTCTAAGCAAAGCCTGATAATACGAGAATGTGACAAATCAGGGGGCGAGTAGGAGATGAAAGGAGGCATGTGTGCTAATGGCTGATGACGAGTTTGTCGCTCTTACGATATGTGAAAGGATGAAGTGGGATTGAAAGGCGATGTACAGAAGGCAATAATTCCCACGAGAGCGAGCAACATTCCGATCTTGATTCCTGCTTTAGACGGTCTCGCTTAGGCATCCACACTTCCGTCATCCTGGCCCGGAACGAAGGCTTTGCCACCACTCAGCCCCTAAAGTACTCCTTTAGACCCAGATTCTAGGGCATCAGTGAGTCCCAAGAGTAAAGTGCAAACGTGTGAGCATAGCCGAAGCGAGTGACCCAGTGATTTGGTGCATTATCCAGTGCACTTATCCCAGTACGATGTATTCGCTACACGATGGCAACTAAAGCAACTGTATGCCGCTATTCCACTGGTCATGTGACTGCTTATGATTCAGTGACCAGATGATGCCGTCTTAGGGGGTCAGGATGACTTCAGCAGCCTATTGTAGAATCGCACCCCTTGCAAACTGTGCATCAACGAGGCCTGTCAGGTGTCGGACGGCAATTTGGTTTCTCTAAGACGGATTTGCATCTGATGTCGCTAACAGGAGATCAGAATTAGTGATTATTTTTTGCTAGTCTGTGCGGCAAACCTCGACACGCAGACATGCAGATCCCGATCGGGCTTATACCCTTGTGACACAACAACTCGATTTACCGGCTACTGCAACAAACCAATATTTATGCAACCATTTTCGGATGAGCCCGTCGCCGAATCGGGGCAATTTGACCTCGGACCAGCCAGTCTTTAGTCAGCTTGTCGTTAATCAGCCCTGCAATACATCACAGCACCAGCCAAGAGGGTAGTAGCATCGGCATTACTAGTGAATATAAGTGCTGAAGGCTTTGTTGCGTAATAATTTGTTGAGCAGGAAAGTATGATAATAAAAAAAGATGACTAAAATATGGCTACTTTAATTGGTTTGTTAGTAGTAATTATCCAATCTACTAAAATGGAATACACGATGGGGTAGGAAGTAATGGTACAACCTTAATTAATGCATCATTTGCGATAATGTCGATTAAAAATATTAATTTAAGTCGATGACAAAGGATGACTCTGCGGATTGAATGGTTTTGGGAAAATGTACATTCTTAGTTCATTTGAATGTCCTGTTTACGAAGTGAGACAAAGGACCACAAAATATCAAAAATTGTTTTAGATATGATAATGGTAGCGTCTATATAGCCGTAGGTTGGCTATTCTTATCTAAAGAAAATAAAGCCGAGACGAAGAGGATACGAGTATTCGCCCACCATGTTTTACTATGACTACTAAAGCAACTTGCCATTTGACGATCCAAAATTATCACTTAATTTTCACTTTATGACTACAAAATATTGATTTTATTTTAATAGATGAAAAAGTTGAAAAAATAAATTATTTGCACTTAATATCAGGATATTTACTAATAATGGGATAATCATTAGAAAGTAGTATGA